TAATAGATACTAAATATTTCAAATAACTCAGTGCATGAATTAAATATACCGATTTAAGCATAGCTTAGATATAGCACAAAGCCGAAAGTATGGGGCACCCAGTGACGATCGAACTCACTACTCAGTTGTAACTTATCTCAGTTATGTGCCATGCGTGATACACGCTTAGGCGATCATGTATTTTTCGATACATGACAGACGAGGCAGATTATTTTCCATCAGTAGTCTGCCATTTCTTTCTGCAGTAGAACAGTTGCCATCCAGGGCTATAGAACCCATTCTATCCTACTATTTACCCATAGCTTGGGGAAGAACAGGATTCATGCCTTTCCCAAGGGTATTACCACGTAAGTGAATGTAATGAACTCGACTGGAGTTCGAACTCAGCTCACCGATTCCTCAATCCGAGACAGCGAGACAAATTCGCTAATATAACGCCGTAACGAATTAAACTGCTTGGTTTCACACTTTCCATTTAACTGAGATGGAACAAATACATTGAATCAATAACTTCATCCACCGCGAGGAAAGTTGGTTCCCTGTGTCGCGTTTAGAAATTTTTTCACGCTTGAGTTCATCCTTCAAATTTATAATTCGCCCTTACATGGAAAACTGCTGTCATATATGGTCTGGAGGCCCCGTTTTTCGTCTTAAAGTCCTCAACAAAATCCAGAGACGGATATGCAATGTGATTTGCCCTGATCTGGCATCTCGTTTACAGTCGCTCTCTCACAGACGTGCCGTCGCCTCCCTCAGTCTTTTCTACAAATACTTTCACAGTAACTGCTCTAACGAGCTACTTTCTCTAGTCCCCAGACTGCGTGAATTTAAAAGTGCTACTAGGTTGGCATCTCGGTCCCACCTTTTCACTGTCGAAATGGTTAAATGTAGCCGTCTCTTCTACTCCAATAGCTTCATGTCTCGCACCTCCCGTCTGTGGAATTCCCTTCCTATTACTGGTTTCCCTGATAGCTATAATTTCCAACTATTCAAATGTAATGTCAATCGACATCTCCAGATGCCTTGACCTATTCCCTGTCCTTCTCGTCATCTTTTCCTCTATCACTCCTTTTTACTCTCGCTCCCACTCTCTGTAACCCCTTGCGTTTTAGTGGCATCTAGCCTTGCTTAGGAAGAAATGCTTAAAAAATTTTTTTTTAAAATAGAAGCGATAAGGAAATTAGAACACGGCGTAAGCTGCGTTATGAATAGTTTTTCCCAACACTGCTAGGTGCTACAAAACGAAAAGATTAACCTAAGAATTCAATTCATGTTCTTACATAGACACGTCAGATCAAGATTCGCATGTGGATATCAACCATGGTGTCCAACTCGTTCAGAAATGTCTAAACTCTCTGCTATATATAACCGTTTTCTCAGATCAATGCTTAAACAGTGTCTCACACCTAAACGGTTTTTTTTATATCAGTTGCTCTTCTCCTAGACCGGCAGCCAATCCAAGCTAGAGAGCCTACTTTTTCCCAAGAGTATTTGTGCGAAAGCGAATTCACTAGCTGAAATTTGAACTCCGCGTCAATAACGTGCACGTTCATACATACACATACACACACACACACACACACACACATATATATATATATATATATATATATATATACTATTATTTAAGTTACTGTTTTGTTATTGTTTTTAATCATATCACCTCTTGCAAGGAAGTAAAGCTACTAAGAGACAAAGGGTAACTAGTTGTGAAAAAATAAGAAAAATGAGAAACATTATTATGGTGCGAGAACAATAGAAGAGTAATCAAGAAGACAGTAGATAATGATTGTCATTGCTTTTAAATTTTTGACGATAAAAGTTGGCTGGAAAGCATGGAGCCGAGAGATCCACAAATGAGAAGTGCGAAAAAAGAAGCTTTTAGCATAGAACAAGGTTAAATCTAACCAATTCAACTGTGAATTGATGAGGCCTTGCCGCCAATGATTTTACAATCAGTCAGTTATGATACACTTTCGATAGATGAATGACGAGGCAAATATTTTCCGGAGTATGTTGCCATTCCTTTCTGCAGTAGACCAGTTTTATATTTACCCATACCTGGGGGTGGGGGGGGAGAAGAAGAGGATTCATACCTTTCCCAAGGGTATTAGCACGTAAGTGAATGTAATAGATTTGACTGGAATTTGAACTCGGCTCTCTGATTCCTGAGCCGCTATCAATTACTCCACTGTGCCTCCTTGAATCAATCAGTGCACCTAAATAGGGAATTTTGTTCTTTATACGATATTTGTATGCTATACGTTTTCATATTTGTTCATCCTGTCGGAATACGATCCATATTTGTTCTGTATTTGATCTTTAATATATCAGTCAGTCAGTTATGTGCCATGCGTGATACACGTTTAGGCGAGACAGATTTTTTTCCCGCAGTAGATTGCCATTTCTTTCTGTGGTAGACCAGTTGCCATCCAAGTCTATAGAAGATGGTCTGTCTTGCTGTTTACCCATAGCTGGTAAGAAGAGGATTAATACCTTTCCCAAGAGTATTAGCATGTAAGTAAATGTAATGGATTCGACTGGATATATATATATCCTTACAATACAATTGCTTGTAACCAATCGATGTTGGTAACATTTTCAGGATATATTTGTGGCACCAATCTTTATCTTATAAGTTTGATTAGAAAACAACAATGATAATCTTGAAGAACTTCTATGGAACTTCAAAACATCACTTTGACTCTGATTCGGGCTATATGTGCAATTCCGACCAAAAAAACGATTTGGGGCGAAAGTTCGATTTGGACCGAAATTACAATTTAGGCCAAAAATTGAATTCTTCAAATGACAAACTCCGTGGGGATACAATTGTGTTCTTCAAATCACAAACTCTGCGGAAATTCAAAACCTCAAGTCACATTAACTCTGATTCCTTGATATTTTGAAGAAATAAAATTGATTTCCTCAATTCACAAAGTTTTGAAAATATTTTTAACTGGATATAAAACAATTTTTTTTTAAATTTACAAAGTTTTTATGTTACGTTAAACTCAATATAAATTAAAACCTTTTAAAATCACTAATTTTTTCCAGTTATTTTGAAATTTGAATTTTTAACTGTTCCCTTCTCATCCGGACACAGTTTCCAATGTTGGATATTCAAGCATCAGACTTTGGTCAGATTTTCAATCTTAGGATCATCCTGATTTCAAAAAATGTATAGTATGCCTATGTAGAGCAAGTGTGGCTCGAGTCAGGGGGGGTTCAGAGATACGGATTAAGTTTGCCGTTTATATATTTAGATAAAAGCAAAACATATGCATCCTCATCAAATTTAATTGAAACAAAACGAATAATTCCGTGATTATTTCCTTTTTTTTCCTATTTTTCCAATGAAATACCAACAAGTGCAGATGTTAATATTTCGTATGTTCATTCCACAAAGTCTTTCCTTGCAGATTGACCAGATTCTCGATTGAATTTAAATCAAGAGAGTTTCCGAGCCAGTCGATAGTACTCTGATTTGCTCACTTACAAGGCTTGCCAGTGTGTTCGTGCAGCATTACAATTTTTGTACGCTTCCTTAGAGTAACGCCCATTGCAGACAATGGCCGTAGGACAAGTAATCGATAGTTGAGACAAAAGTGTCTGGACGTGACGAAAATCTGATTTCCTCATACACACCGAAAATAGATTCATACTACTGCACACCACTGCAAATGGCCTAATCTAAGGAAAAATAGAAGTTGATTACACCCTGTCACTCCAGTGGGTCTAAAAAACGACCGAATGGTGAAAGAAAGGAAACTAAAATGGTTGTTTCAATTAATTTGCATAAGGGTGCATAAGCCATAGAAATATATACTTGCTTAAAACAATATTCAATGTAAGTGAATAAATTATCATTTTGCTACTCTTCTTTTTTTTATCATTTCATCACAATGAAAACCATTTCTTTGGATTTTGTCAAGAATCTCAAGCACCAGAACCGATATAGCGACAATGTAGCTGTCGCTTCGCTGACGGCACGATGATCAAATTTCAAATCTAAATTGTTTGTCCATTTAAAATACTGCATTCATTAGAACATATATTCAGTTTTACAACGGGTATAAGCTCGCCACCCTAGCAGACAGAAATAATAGGAAATGAACAGACAGCCAGGATAAATTCTTTATTTGATTCCGATTAATAATGTAGGTATGTGAAGTACAGTTTTTTTTTTCTAAACTGAAGCAACAAATAACTAAGTAGTAAAAAGCTAAATAAATGTCTGAGATTTGAAAATAAATGTAACTGTGCACTCAGGCGTGATCCTATTTTAAGATGTAAACCCATTTCTTTCATTTAAGTGGCTCAAAGCAGTTACATCAGGGAGCACACAAAGGCTTGCAGCAAACAAAAGAAGCCCTAATCTCCACACCCCTCTTCAGCGAAGAAAGGAGCAAGGAAGAAATTTTGTTTAATGATTTTACTGCAATGTCAGTTTTTTTCTTTCCTTTTTTAGTTGGTGTTGTAATACTTAATTTATTGAATTCCGTGACTGAATAAGGGAATGGTTATAAGTCGCGTATAAAATCAGCCAACCATGCATAAAACAGATTCTGCGTAAAAAGTGTGGGTTCTTTTGTTTTAAACAAGAATCGAGCTGATCAGTACATTGCCCTTTGTGTAAACAAATAGGGAATGTTATTTTTACTTTGATTTGTTTTATATCCAGTCGCTTAGTTAATTTGAAACAGTCTTTTCCTTTGCTTTCTTTTGATGCAGTTTACATTTTTATTACATTTTTATACAGTTTACTTACTTTTAATACAGCTTAATTTGTTTGTTTTGCCCTATATATATATATATATATATATATATATATATATATATATATATGTGTGTGTGTGTGTGTGTGTGTGTGTGTGTGTGTGTGTGTGTGTGTGTGTGTGTGTGCGTAATAAAATGACTGATAAGTAATATCCTAACAAAGTATGTAAGATGGTATATGTGAAAATCAGTTTAAACCTTTTTTAATATCCAACTGGTTTTCACATATACTTCTCAGAGGGAAGCAGGAGAGCAAGTGATGCGAAGAAGAGAGTGTGATGAGGGAAAGAATAACGTCTAAAGAAAGAAAGAAAAAAAGAAAGAATGGTTTTGAAGAATAAATGAATTTGAAGAAAGAAAGAAAGAAAAAAAGAAAGAAAGAAAAAAAGAAAGAATGGTTTTGAAGAATAAATGAATTTGAAGAAAGAAAAAAAGAAAGAAAAAAAGAAAGAAAGAAAAAAAGAAAGAATGGTTTTGAAGAATAAATGAATTTGAAGAAAGAAAGAAAGAAAGAAAGAAAAAAAAAAAAGAAAGAAAGAAAAAAAGAAAGAAAGAAAGAAAGAAAGAAAGAAAGAAAGAAAGAAGAGCTAATTTCGGAGAAGTAAATAAAAAAGAAAGACAGAGTGAAAGAAAGAGAGAAAGGTTAAAGAAATAATAACTTTCAAGAAAAAAAAAATGAATAACTATTTTGAAGGAAGAATAAAGCAAGAGTAAAAGAATAAATGATCCTGAAGAATAAAAGATGTTGAATAATGAAAGAATGAAATCGCGATAGAAAGATCGAAAAACGCAAACGATTTAACAGAGAGTGAATTTCAATTTGAATGAACGTAAAACATAAAATATAAAAGAATCAAGAGTGAGAGAATGTCAGCCAGTGAAGGAAAGAGAGAGAGAGAAAGAAAAAGCGAGAGAGAGAAGAAAAGGGAGAGAAAGGGTGGGAAGGAGAGAAAGTGAGGGAAAGAAAGGATGTGAGGGAAAGAAAAAGAGAGAAACTGAGGGAGAGAGAGAAGGAGAGAAAGTGAGGGAAAGAGATAGAAAAAGTGAGGGAAAAAGAAAGAGAAAGTTATGAAAGAGAGAGAAACTGAGGGAAAGAAAGAAAGTGATGGGGGGAGAGAAAACGAAAGAAAGAGAGTGTGTGTGTGTGTGTGTGTGTGAGAGAGAGAGAGAGAGAGAGAGAGAGAGAGAGAGAGAGAGAGGAAAAAGTGAGAGATAAGACTGAAACTATATGACCTGCTTGTCTAAGGTTACTTTTTGCGGTAGTCAGACGCCATCATTTAATAATCTGGGTGTGTCGATGCAAATGGTTTGAATATGTGAATGAATCATTCTGAACATCGACACCAAAAGTTAGCCGCAGCCAGACATTTTATCTAATTGCTTTTACTTACTGTTCACTTGTTCCGTCAATGTTCACACGGAGTCACCGATGCAATCCATTTTGGAAAGTACATCAAAGTAAAGGGGGTGAAAATAGGTGCATTTTATTTTTACAAATGCAGATGTTAGATACACTTGGAAGTTCGTTTTTCTTATAGTCATCTTACAAAAGATAGAAAGAAAATACAGGTGTATAAGAAACTTGGCAAGCTGAATACCGACAATAAGTATCACAGCAGATGATAGGAAAAGCTTAACGGTGCTCCTGTGGGCCTATGAATTGTTAGTAAAATAGGTGGGCAGACCAATGATTTCGATTCACACTGGACACCTCAAACTTGAGATCTTATGCTGATATATATATATGTATATACATATATTTTATATATCAAGAACAATTTTACGGGAAAGAAGTATGACAAAGTGGAAAAAGTTTACCGCGTTTCGTCCTTTAGGACTTCATAGGACTAAACAAAAAAGAAAAAAAGCATCTAGACGAAGTCGGCTAGATTATGTACCCAAAACATATGTTACAAAAAAAACATCTTTAAATATAAAATTTTAAATATAAAATTTTTCAGCAAAAAAAAAAAATAATAATCATAATAATAATCCTTGACCGAATAGACATTAACTTTAGACTTGGGATTAGATATATATATATCACTGAAATTTCTTGTTACTCTCATTTTTTCTCCAGTAACGATGTGATTATTTACTTGTTAAGCGAAGAAAACAAAAGCCCAAACGCTTAGTGCTGAATCTTCTCAAATCCGCAAATTTTTCACGTGTAATATATATATATATATATATATATATATATATATATATATATATATATATATATATATATGGACCAGGCAAACCTACCTAGGTTTCACGTACGCGTCAGGGTACGCTAGCGTATTGAGAACTTTGCTTAGTTATTTTTATTTTACTCATGTCGGAGGTTTTTTTTCTTTAGACTCTGAACTTGGATTCTGGTTGATTATTTTCACCAAAATTACATGTTCCTAGTTCTTTCTTTTTTTTTATTCCTTTTTTTCCCCTTAGGTGTTGGTTTGTTCAATTACAGGCATCTAGACGAAGTCGGCTAGATTATGTACCCAAAACATATGTTACAAAAAAATCATCTTTAAATATAAAATTTTAAATATAAAATTTTTCAGCAAAAAAAAAAAAAAATAATAATCATAATAATAATCCTTGACCGAATAGACATTAACTTTAGACTTGGGGTTACACCTGACGAGTATACTTACTTATCAGGTCATCCCATAAGTTCTGTCCGAATTTTAACTTTTTGTTAAAATGAACGAAATTTAAAGAGTATTTTATAATGTCTAATGGAGCTTAACATTATTTTTTATGTTTAGATGCATTTAAACTGATCAAATTTTATTTCAGAGAACAATAAAATTAAATTTTGTATGATTAAAACCCTGCTAAGATGGAAGTACCCAAGAATCATTTGAGGCACATAATGCTTTATGAGTTCAAGAAAACTCAGCAGCCGAAGCGGCTAGAAACATTCACTCAGTTTATGGAGGGAATGTGAATGAAAGAAGATGGTTTGCAAAATTCAGAGGTGGAGATTTCACCCTTGAAGATGAAGATCGAACCGGACGTCCAGTTGAGTTTGATGAAAAGCTTCTTGAAGCAACCCTTGAAGAAAATCCTTCTTTATCAGTTGAGGAATTGGCAATGGTTCTTAGTTCAAACCATACAACTGTTCATCGTCATTTCAACAACATGGAAAAGTTCCTAAACTTGGAAAATGGGTGCCTCATGAATTGCTTGAAAACAACCTCAAATCCCGAGTTGACATCTGCTCTTCTCTCCATTCTCGTCAACTTGTTTAAACCTTTTTGGATAGACTTGTGACTGGCGATGAAAAATGGATCTTTTATCGAAATGTTAAGCCTCGTAGACAGTGGCTTGGTAAAGGGGAAGGACCCCAGCCACTGCCGAGAAGGGAACTTCATGGGTAAATGGTTCTTCTTTCGATCTGGTGGGATCGCCAAGGAATAATCCACTTTGAATTCTTACCACCTACTGCAACAATTAATGTTCAAATATACTGTCAGTAATTAGAGCGTTGGAACCAAGCTTTTAGGAAAAAAAGACCTGCTCTAGTGAATCGAAAAGAGGTGATGTTTCATCAGGACAATGCGCGACCCCATACAGCAAGAATCACGTCACAAAAGATCGAAGAACTTGGTTGGGAGATAATTCCTCCTCCACCTTATCCTCCCGATCTTGCTCTTTCAGACTACCATTTGTTTCGTAGCTTACAGAATTATTTGGAAGAAACAGCTTTTGTAACACAGGAAGAGGTTAAAACTGACATTTGTGAGTTCTTCTAATAGATGTAAGGAAGTCATAGATAATCAGGGAAAATACATTGTTGATTGAATCTGTAATTAAATGTAACATTTGGTCACTTGTTTTCTTTATTCAAAATTTGGACAGAACTTATGGGATGACCTGATATATTTATAAGATTATTATTATATATATATATATATATATATATATATATATATGTGAACATTGAAGCCAACATTCAGAGGCGACATGCTGTTTCATGCTAGACGCAATTGTTAGACCACCTGACGTTGACTTAAATGTTCACTTTTATATTTATATACGCACTATGTCTGATATTGAGCACTTTATCTCATAAAGATAGCACACCATAAATCTATATTTCTTCATATATATATATATATATATATATATATATGAAGAACAAATTCAGGGAAAAGAAGTATGACAAAATGGAAAAAGTTTTCGCGTGATGCTTTTTCTTCTTTAGGATTTCATCAGACTAAACAAAAAGGAAAAAGAATCTAGAAGAAGTCGGCTAGATTATGTACTCCACAAAAAAAGAATTATCTTTACATATAAACTTCTCAGCGTGTCTCGTTCGTGCGCATGCGCAGTCGCATCAAAGTAAAAATAAGCGATGAAGTCCTAAAGAACGAAACGTAAATATTTACAAATATTAAGTTTGCCATTTAGCTGATTGGTGTTATCTTCAGCATACCGACTCTAGAGTTTCCACCAATCAATCCGTCTAACGATTTGCCAAAAAAAATGAGCATCCACGATGAAAAAATACCCCAAACTTCATAAAATCAAAATTTTAGCGTCAAAATCTTTATGATATTATTAAGAGAAAAGAACACAGGATTTTTTAATTATTAAATTATATTTTTTAACCTTTTTTTAAAAACATCGACATTTTGGTTAGAAATGTTGTTTTTCTTGTTTCAAAGGAGGACAATAAAGTATGGGAATTTTTTGTGCATCTTTTTTTTGCACTGGAAAACCACTTGATTTGGAAATTCTTGCAAAAGTCAAATATTTGAAAGATTTTAATGAAATTTTCAGGATTTATTCATAGATGAATTAAATTATTTCTGAAATATTTCTTTTTTAGAAAATCTTGGTAAAATATTTTTTGCATCTATTAGCTCTTACTTATTTAATTTTACGAAATTTTAGAAATTCGTTTTTGTAGAGCTTAATGTTTATATTAGTTATAAGAACAAGTCCTTGAAGAAATTAAACCATCAAATATAATTGGTCAAACAAGAACCTCAATTACAGAAAATCTGTTCTGAATCGTAAAATAAAAAATTTAATAAAAATAAGAAATTATTTAATTAGAAATACTGTTAAATATTGGAGTCTTAGGAGGCACGGTGGAGTAATAGATATCGGCACGGATTGAGGAATTAAAAGCCGAGTTCGAATTCCAGTCGAATTCATTACACTCATTTACGTGGGAAAAATATTAATCCTCGTCTTCTCCCTCCAGCTATCTATAGCCTTGGATAGCGACTGGTCTACCGCAGAAAGAAATGGCAATCTTCTGTGCGAAAAATCTGCCTCGTCAGTCATATATCGAAAGATACATGATCGCCTCAGCGTGGCACATAACTGACTAATGAATAAAATATATTATGTCTTAAGAAAAAATACCGTTGGATTTTTATAAGAATTGTTTTCATTTTTTCTAATTTTAATTATAATAACTTAGAAAATTATTTTTTAAAAATTCCGTATTAATTTGTAGAGGTTAGGTGATATTGTTATTAAGTAAAAAGTATATTTACTAATCATAAACGGAAAAGCTTACTACAATTTAACTACCCCAGTATTTTTAAAAGAATATTCTATTTTTTTGTATATCTGTATAAACATGCCTGAATTTTGTAAATACGGAAATTATTAGAAATTTTCTAATATTTCCTCAATAAGAGTCTTCATAATTAAGCCAAAGTACCTAAAACTCAATAAAATATTCGAATGTTTAAAATATTTAACATTTTTAAGATTACTGGGGAGTTAAAATCATATAAAAAGGCATTCACGTTGTATTTATCAAGAAATTTAACTTTAAGTATTTCACGCTTACCTAAAACTCACAATTGATAAATGTGGATGCCTGATTTGTTGGTTTTAGGGACCGTAAAGTTTGGGCATTCTCGGTGATTCTATTAGATTATTATGCCGCCAATTAATATGGGCACGTGACCGAGTGGTTAGAATGTTTGCATTCTAGCCATGAGTATTCGGGTTCGAATCTCACCAACGTCGATTTGTCAAGGTGACAGAATCTCAGTGCGCCCCGTTTTAATGGTATTGGCAGCGCCCCCCCCCCCAATAACTGGCGAAGCCCATAACGAAAATGTTATTTAAAATTTGTAACACACACATATACATTTATTATAAACTGTTAGATTGGAATATACAAGTTACGACGATAAAAATGCATATAACCGCCTAATGAAACGTCTTTAGACGTCAAAACAAATATGCATTTTTGTTGTGGTAACTTGCATGTTCCAATGTAACAGTTTATAATATTTATTGCTCTACTGTTGGATTGAGCCCTTTTTTAAATCAATGTTATGAACGTTTGAATTTATATTCATTTGTGTGTGTGTATATATATATATATATATATATATATATATACTGCGTGCCAAATTATTATCGAGATAACTTTTTTTCTAATATTTCAAAAACTTCAGAACCTGCAGAACTTCAGGACAAGACGAAGCATGATGGTATCAAACAAAAATTAGGCGTGGAGAGCATCCTGAGGGTTATTGAGGAATCTGAGCTGACATGGAATGAGCTTCTCTGGCGCCTGAATCGTCCATTAGATATAACGTGCTTCAACCACCTCAGCCACAGAGCAACTTTACTGATCCAAGCAAAGTACAAAGCATGCCTTTAAGCAAAATCTTTCTCGTATTAAATTTCCTCAATATTTTCCTATCTGCTCAATTTCATATCCAAACATAAAAGGTAATTTTCTCAGGTAATGGATTTATTTATCAATCCGATGGATTTTTATCACTTTAAACTTTATTTTTAGTGGATACTCATATCTCAGTAAACTCTCCATTTATTTATTTATTAAGCAGTATATTTATTTATGTCTACTGGAAACCGACTATCAAGAAGTCAATAGAATGTCTCAGGAAAAGATGGACCCAGAATATCAGAGACGGTAGATTAATGAGGGTCCACCATGGCAGACACTGCAGGGATCCAAGCTGTTTCAGGACATATAGAGGTGCTTCTGGACTGATAGGTCGCAAGTCCTACCTGGAGTTGTATGAGATTGTGATGTGAGTGAGTGTGCATTTTAAATTTGTATTAAAAGCCAAGTATACAACATTTTCATGAGAAGCCCACTGCATCAAATTGCTATTAGTATTCACTTGGTAGGCTACAAAATGAGGAAAACAGCTTCTTATAGGCATGAAATGAAAGTCCTACATTCTAACGCTTATTTCTACAAATTCTTTGTGTCCTGACGAGATTTATTGCTACCGTTTCTCATTCTCAAAGGGACATTCAAGAATTAGCTGGTGTCATATATATATATATATATATATATATATATATATATATATATATATATATATATCAACTGAAAATTATCATATAAAATATTTTCTTCTCTGTGCTTTATATCTAAGGCAACAAAAGTCATGTTTTGTTTTCAGTGTAAAGATGTGATTGCTTAATATCATCACTAGCAGCATGGTCCGGCGTTGCCCGTGCTTGATTCAAAAATCGTACGACTCATACAGCAATCGCTATCACTTGACTTAAAATATTTTTGCCCTTCCTTGCCTTTAAAGGAGTTCCCTTTGCCGTGCTGATGTTGCTATATGCCTTACTTCTGGCCTGCGAATTTTTTCGAAGCTCTATACTAAACATTAAATCTGTTACGAAAAAAGAACTAAACAAAATGAACACAAAACGATCAGCTTTAAAAAAGGACTCGTAACTGGAAAAACCGAATGAAAAAAGAATGTTAACAACAAATACTTTTTTCACACCTAACCCAGTTCTGCGGAATCAGAATCAACGTTGAGTTTAAGCAAGCGAATGAGCCATTTGGAGTAAAGTGCCATGGAGATTTAAATTTTTCCCACTTGTGACGACTGCAGCTATTGAATTTTTTTGCATGCTAACATGCATGTCAACATTCATGTCAGTCAGCTGTTGGCTCTCACGCTGGCCAATAGAATCTTCCTGCCTATTCGTGGCAGCCAGCTATAGGCTTTCACTCTGGCCAGTAGAAATGGCTGCAAACTACATGACAACTGCCGTAGAAGCATGAAAAATCGATTATTTCCACTGTCAATGGGAGTTGAGGAAATGCAAAGTCGGTCCTGGCCTTCCCGCTAACTTGGAGCATGTGCATGTAAATTTTGGTGCAAATCCGTTGAAAATTGCGGCCGTGCCACACACACTGCCTTTTATAGATAGAGATTTGATAAAACTAGTAGAAATAGATATCTATATTTTAATATGCATATACAAAACAAATGCTTCAGTCAACCCATGATATGGTTTTCAGGCACTTTCCAGAGGTGCGGCACGCTGGGATTGTCTTTACCTGACGATAGCATCGAGAAGTCACCATAGTGCTATTCGAACCTGTGTCTCATGATCGGAAAGAGGACGTTCTAATCATTCGGTCACGTGCTATTTCCATATGAGGGAAATTGAGTGGAAGGAACTATTTGGGGGTCATCAAGAGTTGAGCTAGCAGAAGTTATCGAGATATACTACAAGTAAAAAATTTGGGGAAACCTTGCATTTTTTTAAAAAATATCTTAAAATTATGACTTGGCCGCCTCAATCTCCTGACCGCTCTCCCATTAAATTAATATGCGGAGAATTGGCTAGCAGTATTCGAAGAGAATACCCAAAGAGTGAGAGTGAGCTTTTCAGTACTTGAAGAATTTATCAAAAACTGTGGGAAACATTGCTAAGATTTTGTAAAGCAGTAATTAAGACAGGTGGTCGTTTTATTAACGAAAAAGAAAATACGATGCTGTCTTTTTATAGTTAAATGCTTATTTTTCTCAAAATAAAATCAAATGCACTGTAGCTACTAAACTTTTGTCTCTTACTTTAAAAAATACAAAAATATCTCATTTTAAGGTATTTGTAAAGAAAACGCAGGGTTTTCCAAAACATTTTGTCTGAAGTGTATGTATGTTAATGTAATAACATGCATCGTAATAGCGAAAGTTGCATTCTATTGAGTTGGTGCATAATTATCAGGCGTTTTTAAACTATTTATTATGAAAAAAAAAGAAATATAAAAATTCAACAATAACATTTTTAAATGATTATTCTGGAGCGTATGATTATCGACACGCATTCTTATAACCTGAAAATAAAATAATATTTTTATTAAAAAAAGTAAACAAAACATCAATTTTTATTAACTCGCCCACATAAACGCCTGATAATTATGCACCAGCACCACCCACTAGAAACTGAGCAATCTATTGAAACATGTGGAAATCCTTTTAGAAAGAAAGAAAAGACTCCTGATCTTAAAATATATGCAAGTATCGCAAAGTTTAATTTCTGTATTTACGCTGCTTTGTGGAACCGTCTGCCAAGAGGATGCTTCCCCGATCACTACGACCTTAACCTGTTCAAAGCTAGGATCAATGGCTATCTTCCTTACATATCCTCATAAACTGTACCTCTTTCTCTGTAACCCTCTACCTTAAGTGGCTCTTGGGCATTGTACAACGTGAACATCATTGTAAAAAAGAACTTGATTCTGATGTCTATTTGTCTGTCCTTCTTGCTGTAGACTATGTCTTCTTTGTCCTTAATCTATCAAAATGGTATGTACAGAATCCATGCAACAAAAAGGAGCGACATAAGTATTCCTGAAAGCAATTAATTAACAAGCGGCACGCTGTTCTTTTAAGTAAGACATCTATGTAGAATTTCTGTCAAGAAAACTAATTCTTACGGATTAATGCCCATGTATTAAGACTCATGTATATTAATAGGCCTGGAGTAGCTGCTGTTCCTGTCAGTAAGTAACAGTACATCGACAATCGACAGGAATAGACAGGGTGGTAGATTGAAGGTGGTTGACTGAATAACTCGAGTTGGGACGAAGTTGCAAGACTGAGAACAAACAGTGAATTGGCCTTTGTACAGAGAGCGCACAGGTCTCACGCTCCCGAGCCAGGGATTCTATCGGTGTTGTGGCGCGCAAAAAGGAAGTGGTGACTTTGTTCTTATCACTGCAATTTCGTTCGGCTTTTGTTGAACAGAATGGGAACAGTTTGCAAAATAATCGGTTCTTCCGGTGTCAGGGTAACTTTGGTTGTAATCTATGAATTCTAATTGAGTTTGTCCTTGTTCTACTTATATAATAATATGTATTTGCAGAGAGAAATCACAAGAAGAGTGAAATATAACGAGAAAGACAGTGAAGTTGTTGATAGATAGATAGATAGATAGATAGATAAGAACAGGCTGAGATAGATAGATAAGATAGATAGATAGATAGATAGATAGATAGATAGATAGATAGATAGATAGATAAACGGATACGCCGATAGATTAAGATCACTGGCAAACAGAAAATAGACAGGAAAACAGATTGGTGGATGGATGACCTGACAAAAAGATTAAAATTAGAAGGTCACCAATATTACTTTTAAAATTTTGAGTAGAAAAATTTGACTATTCTTTCAGATTAAAAATTGTTATAAAAATAGATACATATAAGAATTGTTACGAGACTAGAGTTATCTTTCTTGCATTGGCGACACCGGGTGTCAGTGTCAGTGTTATAGAGATCTCAAATTATTTATCCCAATGAGAAAAAGTTCGACTCTGTCAGAAAACAGACTACAAAAAAAATTTTAAAACTATATTTCTTTTCTCGCAATTCTCGCTTGTGGAACTCCTTTCCAGCTCCATGCTTTCCAGTATTTAATATTTTTAATACGTTTTTAATCTGAAAAATCTTAAATGCGATGTCTTAGTGGCTTTATTGCCTTGCTTGTGGAACTCCTTTCCGGCTGAATGCTTTTCAGCCAACTTTCATCTCAAAAAATTTAAATGCGATGTCAATCGCTATCTGCTGTCTTCCTGATTACTCTTTTCTCTTGCCACTCATTATTAATGTTTCTGTTCCTAATTCTTCCACACCCAGTAACTCCTTGTGCCTTAGTGGCTTTACTGCCTTACATTGGATGATAACGATTTAAAAGAAATAAATACAAACTGTTTAAAATCGTATAATAATATTAAAGACTTTAAAATCTGAGCTAATGTTTTACGGCATATGTAAACTAATTTTAATATAGGATTCTAATGGACATGAAATAGAACCCTGGCAGTTAACCCCCGAACTGGGGTCAAAACACTATAAAAGTGTAAGAATAGGTTTTAATACCTGAAATACTTTGTAAAAAAAGTTGTTACCAGCAATAAGTTGTTAGTAGCAATACATATTTGAAAAAAAAAATTACAAGCGATACATTTTTAAAATGGCACATACATACATTTTTAAATATACATACGTATAAGTATACATACATACATACGATACATTTTTTAAAATTTTAAAAGAAAAAATATTACCAGAAATAGATTTTTGAAGGAAAAAAAAATTACCAGCAATACATTTGAAAAAAAAATATTACCAGCAATAAAAATCTTGTTAACATTATAACCTATTGAGGTTGATATGCCGTAAAACAAAACAAAACAAACAGTTTTGTGAGAAAAACTATGATTTTTTACAGATATAAGTTTTACTACTTAACCCATATCTGAGGAGGAGATGACGGGTCCATACCGTCCCCAAGTGTATAGGAGAATGTAACGAACACGAGTGGGACTTGAACTTGGCTCTCCTATTTTTCAATCCGAGCTGTTATCTATTACACCATCCGTACATCCATAAAGAGCCCGAGGAAGAAATAAAGAAAGAGAGAGAAAGCGAAAGAGGGGAGTGAGATAGGAGCGAGAGAGAAAGAGAAAGGGGGAGAGAGAGATACAGATAGACACTGAATTTAAAAGCCATCCCCTCTTTTCTTTAACTTTTTTGTCTCTTTTGTCTCCTTCCTCTTTTCAAAAGTCGACATGTTTCGATTTTCCCAGGGAGACATCACAGAAATCGTTATATTTTTTGTCTTTTATTCTCTGTGTAAATATTTGAGTGATGCTTAGTAAGCTATTTTTTTGCAGGCAATTGAACTCTTGAATTCAATCGTCTTTGGGCGCTCAATTACCTTGGTTATTGCCTCGTGCCAGACAAAGCTAAGTAAATATAAAAATTTTGATTTTGTCGTAATTTCCATCTCCCCACTTCTTTCTTTTTCTTTCTTCTGTTCTCTCACTATATTTTTTCCTTCCTGTCGCTCTCATATTTTTCTTTCTTTCTCTTTTCTCTCTCTGTCTCTCTCCCACTCTATCTCTCTTATCCTTTTCTATTTCTTAATCTTTTTCTGTCTTTGCATTTATCGCTCCCTTTCACCAGAAATCTGTACGAAGTATTTCAGATTTACTTGGTTTCACCTGCTTAATCCATTGCAATGCATGAATAAGAATAAACTTGCAACTGACACTGCGTGTCAAAACGAGAAACGGAGACGCACACGACACCGAAAGATGTAGACGATGATGGTTTCTGCTCCTACTTTTGGTGAAAATGTTGGTGTCTACATCTGGAAGCAAGGATTAGTTTCAGAAGACCATGTATCTTTCGAGTCGGCTCGAATCTATCTCTGTGGCCACGTGCACCAAGCGCATAGCTGAAACGTGTGCGCGTGTGCCTAATCTCATGCACTACAGAATGTTCGTAGGAATAAAATGATAGATACGCCCCCTTGCGATATGACAGGGAGACGTGAAGAAATTACAAACAGAAAGATAGAATAACTGAGAGGTCGACAGATATATCCACTCGTAGATTTCAAATGAAGAGACAAAGGAAACAACTAAATGAGTGAGAAAATTGACTGAAATCTTAGATATCTCTTGGGAATACACCCAGAATATTTATTTCTCATATCAGATTCCTTTTCGCTTTTACCAAAATGGTTGAGCCATGGCAATGTTGACTGAAAAATTCTGAATTATGGGTTGCGGGGAAGAGGTGTGTTTATTTATGAAACGGCAATAAGTCTTTATCGGGAAAATCTGCCAGTTAAATTTTCCTTTAGATTAATCATCTGAGAGATCCCTTTTCTGTGTTCCATCAGTATGGCTGATGCCAACCTGCACGAGAGAGTGACGCATTGAACTAATAACTAACAATTGAGCCAATGTACTCGGCTGATAGAAAATTGAAAGGCTCTACTGTCCGCTATCAGTTGACTTAAAATATTTTTGCCCTTCCTTGCCTTTAAAGGAGTGCCCTTTGCCGTGCTGATGTTGCTACATGCCTTACTTCAGGCCTGCGAATTTTTTCGAAGCTCTATACTAAACATTAAATCTGTTACGAAAAAAGAACTAAACAAAATGAACACAAAACGATCAGCTTTAAAAAAGGACTCGTAACTGGAAAAACCGAATGAAAAAAGAATGTTAACAACAAATACTTTTTCACACCCAACCCAGTTTTGCGGAATCAGAATCAACGTTGAGTTTAAGCAAGCGAATGAGCCAATTGGAGTAAAGTGCCATGCAGATTTAAATTTTTCCCACTTGTGACGAATGCAGTTATCGATTTTTTTGCATGCTAGCATGCTAGTTAACATTCGTGTCAGTCAGCTGTTAGCTCTCACGCTGGCCAATAGAATCTTCCTGCCTATTCGTGGCAGCCAGCTAGAGGCTCTCACTCTGGCCAGTAGAAAATGGCCGCAAACTACATGAAAAGTGTCGTAGAAGCATGAAAAAATTAATTGTTTCCACTATCGATGGGAGTTTGGAAATGTAATGTCGGTCTTGGCCTTCCCGCTAACTTCCAGCATGTGCATGTAAATTTTGGTGCAAATCCGTCGAAAATTGCGACTGTTACACACATCCTGCCTTTTATAGATAGAGATGCTAACTAAATTTTCAAATAGCTCAAAAATGTAAATATTCAATTCACAAACACACACACACACACACACACACACAGACACACGCACACTCATGCACACACACACACCCGCACACTCACGCACACTCACACACACACATATAATTATTTATTTAAAAATTATAACATAAATATGTTATAAAATCACTACAAAAATAGCCATTTTGTTTCAACACCTCTGGTGTCTTATCAAGTGATGATGTTGAATGTAGATTGTAGAATAAAGGATTTAAAAGGTTCAAATTAATTAACCACCCCTAGTAAGGGGAAACGCTATATATATATATATATATATATATATATATATATATATATATATATATATATAATTTCGTTTTGCATATATATATATATATATATATATATATATATATATATATATATATATATACAAAACGTATATATATATATATATATATATATATATATATATATGAAGAGGCAGGGTAGAGTAGTGGATAGAGTCTCGGACTGAGGCCAGAATTTGAATCTATTATATTCACTTACGTGCTAATACCATTGAGAAAGATATTAATCCTCTTCTTCTCCCCCAGCTATGGGTAAATAGCATGATACACTTGGTTCTATAGCCTTGGATGGTCTGGTGAAGGATAATGAGAACACTGAAATCAAAACCTATGGAGGGATGTTTGGGGATCATGTGGCACGTAGTGCACCAGGTCTCATATTTGGCTGTTCAAAAAGTGTGCATGGTTCTGCACAAAGCCTTCACGACTATAATCAAATCATATATGGTGGTGTCTGGGCTGTCGGTTCCTAGGAACTGAACTGCTTGACCCCTCATACGACGGGAGAGTTCACTATATATATATATGAATTATTTTCATTTAGAGTGTATCGATAACGGAACAAAATAAATAAAAAAACAACAAAAAAAACTATACTTAACTGTCGAATTTTGTCCTCATTTGAAACATTTGCTTTTATAAAGTCCCTCAGAGGACAAAAAATACGTAGGCTAAGAATAGCTATTCTTTATGCATATATATATATATATATATATATATATATATATATATATATATATATTTTTTTTCACCAAATGGAGGTGCTGAAGATATGGGAACGCTATATTTCAAATTTTGGCCTTTTAAAATTTGTGAATTTTTATTTTTTAAATTTAAATTATATATATATATATATATATATATATATATATATATATATATATATATATATATATATAAAGAGATAGATAGATAGATAGATAGATAGAATTTTCTGTTTTTGTCTTGTTTTTGCTCTTATCGTCGTTGTTTTTAAATGTTGCACATCACAACATATCTGCCAAGAAAAGTGAAATGTTGTAAGAAGCCGGACGTAAATTTAACGCGGGTGATTTAACAATCAGTTCACTTTCTATACATTTTCGTTTTAGTAAAGTGCTTTCTCTTTTAATTCAAGTAGCATTTTTTAATTAAATTTCAAAATCTTAGTCAGACACGTTACTGTGGTCCACTAATGCCCTAGATGTGTTATTTTATAACAAATCTTTTATGTACTCATATAATCTTTTATTTAGATTTCTCGAGGTCTCTCCTATGTACTACTTGTGGCATTCATTATAGGCAACTGAGTAAATTTCTGCGCCAGGTTTTAGACGTTTATTATTTTATTTTAATTATGTTTTTTTATTGTTTGAAATGTAATTAGAACAAATTTTATGTTAATTTTAGATAAATTCTTTTTATTTATAAATGTGATATAGTTGGTAAGTAAAGTAATATATCTTGATTCATTTGATTTGATAAAAAGGTTCATTCTTTAAATTTTAAATATTCGATGATCCTTCTATTTTGCGTTAAATATGAAATAATTAGAGGAAGCGCTGAAGAATATTTTCAATTTATTTCTCCTTATCATATCAATATGAGAGTTACAAATTCTAAGTGCTCTTAAATAGAATCCGATAATTATTCCAGATTTTATTTTGTTGTTTTGGTGAGAATAGAAATTTATGAAGTGCATTAGTTATTCCCCATAATGAATCTGACGATAATTTCAATTTAAAAATGTTATTTTAATTAATACAACTTCCTAAGGCGAAAATTTACAGAATGTACTTTGATTGTGAGAGACTTAATGATCTAGATGATAAAAACTAAAACAAACCGAATAAGGAAAAAGAAAATCAACATGCCCAGACACATCTAAAAATGTATTTAATTTAAAATTCCAGCGTTCCAACATCTTTATCCTTTCTTATCTTAATGCATTGGGTGTATTGTTTTGCCACAGAACTCTTTTGTGTTAATATCATATTTTATTTAAACTATTACAGGCGGTAGAATAAATTAGTTCTTCAAGATTTAGCACATTATTATTTTGTTTTACGATAATTAGGTCTCATATATATATATATATATATATATATATATATATATATATATATATATATATATATATATATATATCAAACATTATTTTCAGTGGATACTCTTGTTTGAAATAAACAACCAGTTATTATTTTAAAATGCTTTTATCGGCTTTGCACACTCGAGAAATCTTAAAGAAATTGTGCTCTCCATCAGAAGATATATATATATATATATATATATATATATATATATATATATATATATATATATATATATATTTCTGGTGTAAGTTTACAATATTAAAAGAAATATTCAGGCCAGTAGACGAGAATAAATAAATATACTGCTTAATAAATAAACCTACTCAAATACGAGTAGCCACTAAAATAACGTATAAGTAATGATAATAATAATAATAATAATATATATATATATATATATATATATATATATATATATATATTCTTTTTTTTCGTAAAAAGAGGCTATATTTTGCTTTTAAACTGAATAAATCGTTCACTCGCCATTAATTTACAATCGCCTGATCAGATGCATCGATATGCATCGAAACACAACAAGCAATTGCGTAGCGTTTTTGACATGTTTTCGATTTAGTATCATAAAATAAATTATATATATATATATATATATATGTATATAATGTATCTATATGTTTGATGTAGCAGCCATATATATATATATATATATATATATATATATATATATATATATATATATATATATATATATATATATATATATATATATATATATATATATATATATATATATATATATACATATATGAATATATATATATATATATGAATATATATTTGATTTTGATATGTGTGTGTTTGTGTGTGTTCAAGCGCACGCGCGTGTGTGTTCTGTAAAACGAACAGACGTAAATAAAATAAAACATATCATGGGCAGATGCGGAAACGTATTTGTGTTTTGAAAATATTTCGTGTTTGCCTTTCCTGTCTTAATGGTTGTCAAGAGCATGCCAGATTCTTCAGTTACATAGTTACAATTTGAACTAAAAAAAAGCTCATGTGATATTTCAAATGTCTACATATATATACTAGCTTTGTCTGGTGTGCATGTCCCTTTTTTTCATGTACGTCTCCTAAAGAAATCCGAAGATGCGTTTGTGTTGCGAAAGATGTCTTCCAAAAACTGAGCAAGTTTTAACAAACAGGAAAAATGTTATTAGAAACAAAGAAAAGAGTAGTGAACAGTTAGGTAAAATCAGTCCTCCTATATAGCTGTGAATGCTGCGAATATTTGTTCTGAAACAAAGGGGAAAAAGGAAGTGACGTATCACATACAACTTTTCCACAAGTAGAATTGTTCATAACCATTCTTGGTTGTCACCCGTCGAAGTGCAGTTGAAATGCACCGAAACGAAGTTGCATCATCGTAGTGAGTAAACTGTTTTTGTCTGTCTGATAAAATTATAATAAAGAATCATCGCTCTACTATCGGCATCGAGCCCTCTTTTGAATTAATGCTGTGAACGTTAGAATTTATATATATATATATATATATATATATATATATATATATA